GCGGGCAGTAACTACAGCTTCCTTGTGTTACAACAGCTGGAAATTCAAGAAGTATATTCAAGTGCAAGAGGAAGATTCAGCTGTTTGAAACTGCAGTTGAAATCAAGGTTTGTAATTGAATTCGCCAAATATACAGTATCGCACAAGATGTTGACCGTTTTGAAAATTCCTCAAAATCAAATGAAATGAGATGGAGAATTTTGAGTCAGAAACAGGCAGCTGACTCATCTTCGATTTTTTATGACACCATTCTGTCGGGGCGAAAATGAAACAAGTTGAAGCCATGCTACGTGACCTAAAGTTAAATAGCAGACAAGTTAGATTTAGGATGAATGGAGCAAAGATGAAGATGACGAGAAACGAATTCGTGTACAACCAACTACAGTAATTATCAATGAGATTACCAAATAGAACACATCACAGAGTATGTCTACGCGTACAGTCATTCATCATTGACCATTCCTTTGGTCCAGAGCTCGTCAGAATGCGTCGTACAGAAGAAACTCTCACATTCTTGACAACGGAAAGTTATCTGTTGCTGTTTGAATCACGATATATGAAAGCACGGTACGGACAACGCTTTATATGTTTGCAAGACCTGAGCATCAGCAAAAACAGAAAGAACTGGTGAGAAAGCAGCGGTGCACTATGGATTTCGATCAGGAAAATGCTGCGAAATGAAGAAATAAGAAAACACACTGGAGCGAAGCACTGAATGCAATATTAAACATGGTTTTTGTTCATAATGCAAGCAACGTGGTCACTCGCATAAATTACTGGTACCGACATTTTGGCTCGTGTCTTAGAGGCCGTCTTGTAATTAAAGCGGTTGATTGATTGATTTCGAAAGCCCTTCTCTTGTTGGCAGCCGTTGGTACATGTGGAACCAGAAGGCATGGGAATGAATGACGTTGTATCACTTTAAAAAGAGAGGAAACGACAATGGTCAGGTTACATCGCACTACTTAAGAATGACAGGTGGACTTCAGCGATAACGGATTGGCAGTCAAAAAAGTGCAGCCGCTCAAAGGGGAGAACTCGGCTCAGATGGAATGATGGGTTAAACGAGGAGTATAGAAACTTGTGGGGACAAATTGCACTGGACAGACGTACGTAGGTATCAAAACTGGACAGTATTGATTCACATAAATTACGAAGAAGGATTAGTCAATTAGAATGTTGATAGATGCAACTCTTAGCGTAATTCTGTAGTAACGAATTTTTAAAGCAGTAAAAAATTGAGCTTACCCTGCGTGTACAACTACCATACTGTCACGAATTGTGCATTGAGTTCTGACATCGGTAATGTCCCATAGTTTTATATTACTTGCTTCAATAATAAATCTTATCATATCTTCTCGTACTGCAAAAGGTGTAGTGAAAAGTTACTAAGTTTACTAACTGTGAAATGTAATATTGACGAAATATGTAAAAGTTATAACCAACCTATTGTTCTATCAATCAGTCTAGAGAAAAACAATTCTTGTTACAGTGTCATTTTGAAAGATATCAAAATTGGCAGCCATGGAGACTTTTCTGATTACTTCACTTAGGATGTAATATACAAAAATAAACCTCCTGGTCTCTTCACCCTTAGTCATCACATATTGTAACTTGTCCTTGGCATGGTTAGAAGATTTCCTGCTTAATTTGCATCCAATTTCTTTTTACAGAGATAAATAGTGTAAAAGAATCTGCACTGATGCCCATATTTACACATACATGCCGCTGAGACTTCCAGTCCTGCGGATCATTTACAGAACCGGCGAGTTCGATGTCCAAAATCTTTTCGAGTAGCATTTTCTATATTTCCCTCTTCTCTTCTGTTGTCTTCTCTACCCATAAGATTCTTATGGACATAATAATACTCACCGGTCAGACTTAGTGTATCGCCTCTGCAAAGCGTGCTAAGCATTTTTTACGAATTTCTGCATATGTGCAACTTGTCTCTTACTCTGTCTTTGAATTATCCCATGTCCGGAAGACACATTTTGTAACCCTGTTGTAGGAATATTTGTTGGAGTGTTTGTAATATGTGACTCTACAACATGATCACGATTCCGGCGCATGAGTCATTCATCCATACGAGGCATAAATAATTCTTCCAAGTGTGACTTGCCTGTTCACTTATAACTTGTCACCTTGAAATTCAGCACGTTTTGACTCATGCTTCTGAATTATAGTGCCTGAGCAGTGCCGTAGTTATATAAATGACAATTAGAAAATATTTTGATTTAATAATTTTATACGCTTAAACTGTTCATTAATCGCATGGAAACTTCATTTTGAAGACACTTATTATTAACGCCGTCATTTACCGTTTAACAGCCTCTTCATTTTTTCAGCGCTACAGTAACGGACGCAATTGCCCGTGTGAAAGAAATAGCGACGTCGAAGCCATTCTTCTGGCAGGATGAAAGCGACGTGCTGACTGTCGATACGCTGGAGCAACGCTACGTGCTGTGCCCCCAGGACGTGAAGGATGCATACCTCGTGTATGTAGTGAAGATGTTTCACGAGAGAAACCCGAGGAGCGCGATTCTCATATTCTGTCACACGTGCCACGAGTGCCAAGCGCTCTGCATGATGTTCAAGAACCTTGGATTCGAAGTGTGTGCATTGCATTCTATGATTCATCAGGCCGAACGCATGAAATCACTTGACAGGTTCCGGTCCAACATCTTGAAGGTAATTTCGTCGTAGTGTGCTGATTGGATTTCTCAGTCTGGCATTTCGTTCCTTATGTGGTAAAGCAGATCAAAGACCGAAGCGAGGATGGGTAGTTGTTAAAACTTGACATGGCAGAACAAACATACAGCTTTTATAAAATATAGGGTATATGAGCTTCAGTTCGTTATTGGCTCCAAGTGTATTCTCTGTTGAGGACAGGCCTTACCTTGTATATGGGGTCTTAAAATCAAAATTATGATTTTGCGGGCTGGTTGCATGTAGTTATCATACCCAGGTAACCGCTGCAAGCGTCGCTCATAGTTTGAGTTTTTACATTCAGCTGGGTTAAATCACTGTTACCGCATAGTAAGAAGATTCTTCAGCCCTTTACGGAGAGACAGCGTAGGTACCGCGCTCGTGTTTGATGCTTCTATGATCTTTGCTCTCTTAGATCATGGTATGTACGGACGTTGCCGCGAGAGGACTTCACATTCCTCGTGTAGACCTGGTAGTGAACCACAACGTACCATTGCAGCCGAAGACATACGTGCATCGGGTCGGTCGTGCGGCGAGGGCTGGCCTTCCGGGAAAAGCAATAACATTTGTGACACAGTACGACGTTTGTCTGATTCAAGCAGTTGAAAAGTTGATCAACTGCAAGTTGACCGAGTTGAAAATTTCCCACCGTAAGGTGTCGCAGCATGTTACAGAGGTTCTAGTTGCGAAACGTGAGGCCGAAGTAAAATTGGAAGCGAATAAATTCGGCGAAGAGCGCGAAATTCATCGTCGCAAGCAGATGATCCTCGAGGGACTGGACCCTGCTGACGTGTCTAAAGCGATTGAACGATCGAAAGCCTCCAGAATGCACCGAAGTAAACGTAAAATCGACAGCATTAAAGCAACTTTGAAAAGTAAACGGACTAAACGTGGAAAGTGAAATCGACCTCCATACAAAACCGTAAAGATGTGCCCATGCTCTTCTACCATTTTTTCATGGTCAAGAGATGACTGAAGAAGCGAGGAATATTATTATTACCTATGCTCATTTCTCAAAATGAGAAATATGAATATGAAGTTTTGTGTTACTTGTCTAAAGAAAATCCTATTACGTGAACTACCTCTGACACACGTGACGCTTTAAGAAAATTTTTTTTCATTTTTTCTAAACCGGTTTCTTAAAGTTTTGCTTGTTTCATTAATAAGTGGAAAATAATCAATCTGGTTCTTAAATTCAGACGAATCATCTTGACGGATAGCAGGCATCTATTTCTCAACAAAAAACAAAGAGCCATTTTGGATAAACTGTCGAACAGGAGAAACTGTTGAAAATCAAAAATACTTAAAAACGGTTTAATACACAACGCAAACAGCCGCTTGCCCAATACTGATGTTTTGTCTTATCCAGGGTGGTCTGAATTAGTCTCTCCAATTGGTTTAATGTGATCCGCAGATGTTGTGACGTCTGGAGCCAAGGGTATCCGTTTGGTCCATGCTGCTGGTTAAGTAGTTTTTGAGTCACGGGTTTGATAAAGTTTATTCATTCCGTGCAGAATTGTTAACTTTGTCCTAATTAATTACTCAGTCATAAGAGGAACTCATAAAGGATTACTTTTGTTTTCTGGATCCATTACCAGATGCCTCATCATTGGGTAAATACGTGAGACAAACCTCTTCCAAACCTGCTCAGTAGATTTTACGTTGTAATTCTTTTTCTTCGTTTGTAGCACAGCTATTATATATCATATACCTTTCCACTATACTTTTTATATACTTTTATGGGCAGGCAGTCGAATAAAACATATCATGGATAACATAAGTAAGCCGACTACGTTATGCGATAACTAATGCTTGATAATAAATTTAATTTTTCTAGGCTTCACGGTTTCGTCTTTGCATATACAGTATCAAATCCACGTCGCAACATTCCGTTGACTAGATTATACATTAATTTCTGTTAGGCATTTACTTAACGCGCAATGTACGACAGAACGTAAAGTTTATTAACAATGTATAAAAGTCGAACCGGGTGACAATTTGTTTCTATTACTGTTTTATATCACTGGGTTCCTGTCGCTTGCTTTAAAAGCCGCTTTGGTCTTGGGGGAGGCTGCAAATGCAACTTTTCCAGTGCTGCAGCGTTGGACGCCACGACTTCTTCGCTGAACGAATTGCACTGTGAATCGTTACTAGAAAGTATGATTCGAAAAAAAATATTGTAAGAAAATACCTGATCAAAAGGCGACATCCTTTAATATGTTAGAAACGAAAGTTAGAGAGAATATGTGAAAATAGCACGGTAACATTCAAGCTGTATCCGAACCGACAGACTGAACTTAAGACCAGTTTCTGTTTAATGCTATCAGTTAAGGTGAGATCTGAATTAATGCCGTGTTAAGTGCTCACACAAGGACTCACTTTGGAAAACAGCTCTGCATGGATAACTTTTTTTGGTACTGCTTTCTATTTTCATAAAACCGTTTCTTACAGAAATGTTTTTACAGAAATACAGGATTCCCTATACATGGAACAGATGTGATACAAGATAGGCACGAGATTTCAAAATCTGTGGGCAATAACCTAGAGATTTTGGATCTGAATTTCGAATGTTGCATTAATCAAGGAAATAAATACAGCAGCCCGCCGAGCGGGGTCTTTACTGCGATAAGGGTCCATGCTGCCAACTATCTGGAGATCTTTTGTTATATGTTGATAAGACACACTGTCTCCTGATTAGAAAACTTCATTAATCATCGATAATTTGCTAGCACCTTACCCGACAAAAGTCATACCAATATTTTACTCAGGACTGGCTTATAAATGCTGAACCCTAGAACAAATCCGCGCTCACTACCAGCACGTTTCCAATGAGAGTCAGACAATATAATTGGTCGAATCGATGGCTTACGATCTGGTAACTGTCGTCGTTTATCCCGCGGCTTTGAACTGGCGAGACCTGTCATGTCCACTCTGCGCAGTTCCATATGCAATGGTGCAGGGCATCCTGTCACAGCAGGCGGTCCACGCCATCGAACATCCAAAGACGATACCGCGAGAACAACTAGGACTAAGCGATGCTGTCTATTATTCAAAATTACGATGTGAACTTTTATGACCGAGTTGTGTCATCCAACCTGTCAGCAATTAATACGACAATAGCCTCGCACTGCTGTTCATGGGAACATAACTTTTAGCACGGCCTGTTACATAATATTACCGCGTTAAATTAAATTAAAGGATGCTAATAAATGACAAACGTTATGCTCTGTTCAAAAGGATGTTGGCGTGATAGTAAAGTCTGTGTCACACTACTATAAGGTATTTCTATAGCTTCTTCATCTAAACAGAAAAAAATGAAAAAGCACTCTATTTCTTGATACTATGTTTACAGTGCCTTCTAGATCCTCAGTCTAAAATATGAGTCGCCATTTTTCATTCAGAAGCTAGATCACATAATGAAAGGATTTAGCCATGCATATTTTGGAGTGTTAATAAGAATGATGAGTATCAATCCTTCGATCCAGATTTATCTGTCTTTCTTGCCGAGAAATCAGCGTTAAAATAATGACGTCTGTCAATCTGTAAATTACTACCGTTGTATGAGTCTAACGTTTCAGGGCTGTTCATGATAGGCGTTCATAACTAAGGAAAAAATCTACATTATATTTCGCCTTGGTGATACTGACACCAGACGGGTACGTAGAAAGATCTTATATGAGCATATTTATCAGCACTAAAAAAGGCTAAAATAAGGAGGATAAGAGAAGACGTCGACAAGAGAAGCAAAATGATATTCAACAATTGCAACTGCGTACCCTTTCAATGTGGTACTGGTTGGAGAGAGGTTGAAATTCGCATTTTCAGATGTGTACCTGATGTTCGTGTACTCTCGCTGAAGCACCTCACTTCTCTAAACAACAAACACAATAATGAGGATAGACGTTGAGTCATGAAACGGCGGCCGTTGTGCCTCAAGACCCCCTCCACCTTCTGCTCCTGCAAGTGCTTCGCCAGTATGTCGATATAGTGCTGAACAGCCAAGTAAACGAACTTGTACTGCGCTTCCGTTTGCACCATCCCCGAACGCTGCGAACGCAGCATTTCCACCGTCCTTCTGATGTCAATGATGCACTGCAAACCTGAAAAGCGAACTGTGAAGTAAACTAATCACACGCATGAAGTTCAAGCAGTGTCGCTATACCGTTTCGCTTAATGGAATTCAATATGAGATCAATGGCAATGAAAGCACCCGTTCGACCGATGCCAGCACTGAAATATGAATTGATTACTTTACAAAAAGCTTATGATTTTAAACTTTATTCTCTTTAAAGCGTGTTGCTAAATTAAAGAAGCATAATCACAGTTTTGTGTAACAGGAATTCTTCAAATTAGCTTTTTCCAACCTCACTGGAACTTAAACCTAATGAAAGCAGCAAAGTTTGTGGCGCATCCCATTCAAAAACTTGTTTCCAGTTAAGTATGTTGCAATGGTACACAGAAACTAGAGACCTTTCAGAAAATTTCTGGAAGGTAATCCACAGAAAATGATTTTAAAAATAACTAAAGCGGTAAAATATACAAGAAAGAATGCATGTACAGTGTATCATTCATGACGAATTCGATTTGACCAGGTTTCTGATGGTGTCCGGAGCAGGTGAAGCACAACGGTTCATTTCTAGAGTTTGTAGAGATTCGCTACACGTTCCTTTCACCTTGACTTATAGCTGACCACAACACCATGCAGTTGTCAGATGGTCGAGACTTCTTGGCGAAGGCCACCGTGTCGTTGCTTTCCCTATTCGTAACTGTCGCGGCGATTCATTAGTATGTCAAGCCAGCTGGCTGATTCGACAGAAAGCCTCAAAAAGCGACACAGAACACGTTAATACGTTGACCCGTGTCACAAAACCGCTGATTGTTTGCTTTGCTCTTTCTACTTTGGTGAAAGTCGTGTGGCTATTGTGCGACTGTAAATTTCATGATAAAAATTCCGTGAATTTCATCTTACCACAGTTAATCATCAGCTCATCCATATTATAATTAATGAATATTTACAGGACTCTAATGAGAGATTATCATACTAAACTAGATAACTGATATAATATTCAGAAGTCAGCATGCTGATGTTAACGCTGCACCTGCAGTGAACAACAACGGGACCGCAGTCTTTGATCGTTGCAGCTCGCCTGTCAACTTCCTCCAAGAAGTTCAAAACCGAACTAGGATCAGACGGGACGCCGTGATCCGGCCAAGCGAGAAACTGGTACTGATAAATAGTACGCTCTTCGGTGGCTTTGGACTCAACGTTCCGCTTCACCGATAACGTCCGTAACGTGTAGTCGGGGCACGTTTCTTCGGACACCGTAACGATCGTCAATTCCTTGTTTAAACCACAGACTTTCTGCTGGCCGACGCATGACCAGTATCTAGCACATTTGCTCTGAAATTACAAAACTACGAAGTTGCAATAATAAATCAAAGGACGCATGGCTCACTCCCAAAATCAATCGTAACAACAAAAATCACAATCATAATAAATAAATAAAATATATCTGACAATTACAGCCCTTCGAATAACAATTACAGCCTTTTGCAGCCATAGTGATTCGACTCACAAAAGCACCAGTAGGAAATCGGGATACGTAGTAGTAGCATCAAACGACAAATGGTCATTTAGACAGTTATCTTTCAATTTGTACGATCGATTTATATATTTGTTTGCCATTCCGATATTGCTTTACGACCTCCTAACACCCTTTAGAATGCTATCCTGATTTAGCTGATTTTTTAACCCACACTCCTGGCCAATGGTGTTGTTTATGGCTTTGAACGTAACTTCGTGGTTCTCGGTTCAAGACTTGATGGTAACCAAGGACACAGTTATTTGGATCACAGCAAAATATCACGTTCTATCATGGTGTGATAACACTATTCTAGACGTACGTTTCGGTTTTACTAATGTAGCTTCCCTAGCGAATAAAAATTTGTTGGTTGTTTCAAATAGGAAATCATATAGATTTTGCCGATTTCATGATTTGTAGCTGTATCGACCAGCATCTATGAAAGTGTGTTACAATAAGGATACTGATTCACACCATTAACAAGTCCACAAATAAAGATATTCAAAGCATGAATAATTGTACTGGGTATGGGTCTGTAAGAACAAGAGAGCAAAACTGCATGAACGTTATTGTCCTATCTCACTGCAGAGACAGTTTCCTGAAAACCTATTTCAGACGTGGTCGTATTATAATCTCACATGTACATACACACAGAATGCATTTGTGATCCGGACCACCGTGAATGACGAAAGCAAGAAGTTATAGTAAATATTTTGTATCAAGAAAACCTTTCTGACTGATTGTAATATTTCTTGCTGCCCTTATCAACGCAAACAAAACTGAAGCTAACCGGAGAAAGGGGGAGGAAATATATGAAAAACATTATCTTGATTTAACGTTTTCTTAACTGTAGCAAACTGATAGTCCCAACGATGATGAAAATGATGGTGATGATGGTTTTGCTAGTAATGGCGACAATACCCACGTGGATCGAAATAACGGCGACGATGATGGTTAGGGTTGAGATGATGACGACGATGCAAACATTATTTATTTTGATACCCGATGTGTTACCCCGTGAGCGGCACCTACCTGTGTACCAGAACAACAGTCATAAACGTTAACAATGATCAAAAGTCATAATGCTCATATTTTCAGAAAATCGACCAGCCGTGAATGCAGTGATATGACAACGGGACAAAAGTCATTTTCTCTTTAGACGCGCTACAACATTAAAATACAAGTTTACAAATCAACACTGTTGCCTCGAATTTCTCAGGTCTTGACCACTCCTACGAAAACGGATATTTTCTTCGACTTTCTGACATAATCTATAAGGTATCACGGGGACCTCTCGTCTATTTATCTAGGATATGATATTCTCCGTTGAAAGGACAGAAGCTACGAAAAGACCCCCAGATATCCTCTTTGCAGACTGATACAGACGGTGGTCTCTAAACTTCGCAGGCGAGTAATTCAACACCAGTATTGATGCACAAAATTACGTGGTAATGTTAAAAAGATTAATAGAGAACAACAATTAACTGTTGTTTTGAAACACCGATAGGGAAGCGAAGACCTGATAGCAACGAAACGATACCTCCTTACACACCTGTTCGAAAAAATTACATGAATTTTTCATGTAAATGGTATAATGTTCTTTATCCCTAAAATCATCAGAGGGCTTACTCTGTATGTAAACGCAACTAAAATAAATCAAACATGTTCGTTCGGGACATGGAGTTCTTCTCAGGGGACATTATGCAACACCAAGTGCGAAAATCAGCGATTCAGTACGATGGATCATCTCTACGTGCTATAACAAGTAATTCAGATAAGCAGCGAATACCAGCTTCCTTGGTGCCTCGGCTTCATCGATTTTAAAATCGCTTTCGATTCAATTTACATCTGATTCGTACCGGATTTGAAAAGATAAAGAATCGAGAAAAAATATATCAATCGGACGATTTACAGCAATGCAACTGCCAGTGAGAAGCTTCATCACGGTAAAAATCGAAAAGAGCGTCCAACAGGGACAAGAAAAATCACGCAGCTGTGGATAAGGCTTCTGAGAAAATTCTTTGAGAAAACTGCGGCTAAACATAAAGGGACATTATCTAAGGCACTTGCAATTTGCGGACTACATTCTGTTCGTATAAAGGGTCACCAGAACAAGTCCAACATATAATTCAAGAGCTGAACGCAGGCAGCACTGTGAAGCAAGAAGACTCAGGTGATGTTTAACAACTGCGATTTTTTGAAATTAATGTACTTAAACTTGAAGAGGTACAAAATTAAAAACAGCTCATCTCTGCAATGGAAAACCGACTTAGCGAAATCAATAGAAGAGCAAAAATGGCATGGAGCACTCTCAGAAGGCTGAAAATGTTCTTATCCTGGAAACTGCTCGTTGTCCTTGAAATGGACAGTTATCGTTCAGGATAGGCCTCCACCCAATGCTAATATACGGAGACGAAAGTTATTCATAAACTAGAGACAATGCAACGCAGCACTAAAAGATATATTTTCGAAATAAGAAAATACAGGAATATGAATGAATGGATAGGGGGGGGGCAGTATGCGATGTCATTACATGACAGAAGAAGCGACCATCGACAGACTAGAGATACTAGCGCGGGCTCCAATAAAGAATACATGGCCCGTAGGAAGACTTCAATATCGATAGCAGAAAACGGAAGTCTGTGGCGAAGTATTGGAGAGGCCTTTATACAGCGGTGGATTTCAAAGGCTGACGAATGTGCTGAAGTGCGAAAAAAACAGTCAGCAATGTCGTTGGATGCCATAGAATCATATTAAGGTGCAAATTTTCTAAAGGTAGCGCCAATTAGCAAATAAGAATTATGAACGAAAGTCATCGGGTATCTTGGAAAAGCTATCTGCAGACAGTACCACTGATTTCACTGTTTTTTTATTAATTTATATTGACTTTTAATGACACGAAGCCAAGATGATTAATGACAGAATCACAGCGCACAAACAAACGAGTATTAGGGTACAAAGACGCCAAAACTACCTTTCCACGTTCCATCTCCTTGGTGGTCATCACGATTATGGAGCATTTTTTCTGCCATATCATCCGCCAAAAGTCATCTACGGTATTTGGTAGGCAGCCTTGAGTGGAGATGTATGACCGACTGATCCCAGCAAACATTTCATATTCTGGAAGCACCTGAAATATAGGCTAATAACTACTGCTTATAATGAGCTAAAATATGCAAAACCGTGGTCTCCTACCAAAGGATGAAAAGACGACGGTGACAATAAATTTAAGGTGATTTCACGCAATTATGCATGAATCAATATACTTCCAACTTAAGTACCTAAACTTTTATTGCTGTTGCAAAAAGACTATCTCCTACTCCTAAAAATTACCGGCTTCCGAAACACCACCACTACATGATCAATGTATTGCTGCAGTCAACGAAATGACCCGTCATGCAGCGATCCATTGCTGGTACTAAAGTATCCCAGAGCAGGAACCCTCAAACAACTAAAAGCAAAATAATGGTGCAGTACACCACCAAATCTCGTTAACGGATAAGCAATTACCTTAATTATATGCAGCATATAATAAAATACAAGTGTACGAAAGAAACAGAAAATTCTAACGCAATACAGTACTACCGTTAAGTTCCAAATTTTAAATTCGATAAAATTCGAACTGAATACAGACAATACAAAAATGTGTTTCGTTTAACTGTGATACTGATTCAATAAAACTACTACTGACTTATTTTGAAGCTATATAAAATTTGAGTTCACTAATAGAATAAACGATCTAAATTTTAGCATCATCACCGCTACCAGTTAGCACATAATGTAGAGTATAAAATAGTAATTAAAATTACTAAATTTGATCATAAAACAAAACAAAAACAAATTAACTAGCCTAAGGAACTTTTCAGCATCTCTGCGCCTGCATCAAAGACATTTAAGGGTATATTTAAGTTATTTTTTGTTTGTACAACTAAATTATGCAACGTTTACTTAAAACGACGCAAACTACACCAAAGAAAAGCAACGGAAAGCCCACCTTAATGATTTTTTGAGGTGCTCAAGCTACCGCTGGAGATCAATAAGTTTTCAAAAAGCAGCTGAAGTTAAGACAACATTCGCGATGTAACATGGATGCTAGCTTTGCTATCGATGTTTCCACAATCTACTACCATATGTATAACTGCATAAATCAATCATGCTTTACCTATTAAACACCAGATGACAGAAGAATCAGAACGCGCATAAAGGAAGCGCATATTTATCGACAACATTAATTTAAGTTAATTTTATTGCAAATTTAACTCGAAAACAGTCGGACAGAAATTCACACATATTACGAGCATGGATCTAAGCTGTTTTTAAATTATCAGACACTCCTGTATATAACTTTGATATAGGACTTACCGATGGTAATCGAACCGTTCTCTTGCTTCTAGTCGCTTAGAGGGATTAACTAAACAGGCTATGGTTCTATGAAATTTGAATATTTGTAGTATTTGGATGTAAAAGCGCATCACTGAATTTGGCTGAACAAAGACGATCTTGAGCACCAACTTAATAATGCGCTTCTGAATCTAATGATCTGCACTTGTTCAAATACCAAAGAGTCGCAGCCTGCATAAATGGTCCCCATAGGCGACTACAAGAAAGGAAACCAAGATGGAATACATCTGGTATCAGAAGTTGACGTGTTAAGATGACCGGCGAAATTGAAAGGCTAGAATGCGATACCGGGTGGGGATCTTGGTCTTAGAATATCGAGGTCATGCTTTCTCCATACTTTGGCATATATTAATTATTCTGTTTCCAATTTAAACAAACGTTCAAATTATATCGAAATTTTGAATTAAAGAAATTCGAATGAAAAAGATTTTACCGCAGAATTATCAGAAAGTTAAGCCACTCCTGAAATTCCCATTTGTGACTTTTTAGAAGAATTATTACATGTTTAATGGCTGTCGTTTCAGCTGCTCTATTATGACTGCCAGAAACATTAGAGCAGAGCATCTCAAACGTGATTAAATGGTGCTAAAATATCATGGAGCCGCAGACTGCTTAAATGATCCCATGAGCGATTAGAAAAAGGGAGATGGTGCCATTACGCCGCTTCAATCCGGTATTATAAGAGAAAATGTCAAACGTGATTACTTTTGTAGGAATAATTCAACTCCTACAATCATCTTTAGCAACGCAGCAAAACTGTAAATTTTAAACTGTTTAGGTCATCTTAAAGTTCAATTTTCTTGAAATTTATTAATCTTAATTCTGTGCTTACACCTTGTGTTGACTTTTAATCAGCGACTTTAGTGAAAGCGAACTGCTTCAGAAAAGCGCCGCATCAGGCAAC